CCCAAACACTGACTTCACACAAGTTCAGCTGCCTGTCTGCGTTGTTGAATCACACGTGTCCGGTCTTCCGTGATATGGATAAACGACTACTTCGTCGAATTCGTTGTTTATGAGAATATCGGTATCCCTGTCTTTTGTCCGGTGGATTCGCTGAATGATTGGTTCTACTGTTAACATAAGAATCCCAGCAAATGTAGTGCAACCACCGCAGAAATAAAAAGAAGTGATACAATCTTCAGTAATATCGTATAGCAATCCTAGAATAAAGATGAAATTAAGATGTGAATAATACTAATGATAGTATGTGGTGTGAAATTTAGAAATCTGCGTCAAAGTATATGATTGAGAATTTCAACGCAAATTTCATTTTGTAAAGTACTTGTTGAAGCTTACTTCTTCAAATCGAAAGGTGTTTGCCAAAAGGCAACTAATTTTTTTTTAGCAGTAGTCTTACCAGCTACGGTTGGTCCAATCATTGCACCCAATCCATTAAACGTTGATGCTAATGCGAGAGCAGCAGTAAGGTTTGGTCCGCCAACGTAATCTTTCGTAACATGAGAATACAGCGCAAATACAACTCCAATGAAGAAACCGTACAGTGCTGTATGCACGGCATATGTCACATATGACATTGTCAAGTGAGGACTGATCACAGTAGAAATGCCAGCCAACAGTAAACATATACCAAACAGGCGGCCACTATTCATCCATTTACAAGTTATATGTAACAATACAGGAGGGGCGACCCTTCCGATTATCCCACCAGTTGCAAGTATTGAAATTAGAAATGTGATAATAAAAGGCGATGCCAGATGGAGGTCATTTGCATTAAGCACGATAAACGATGGTACGGCAAAAGAGCCTAATCCAATACCACTAAAAACACACACAATTTGAAGGGCAAAAAGAGGATGTCTGCTAATTAATTTCAAATCCAATGCGTGTAGTATTGCGTCTAATGGAGCACACCAGGCAACATGATGTCGTTTTGCAAGATCGTGATCATCACTGGGACGCGAGACTAGATCCGTGTTATTCTGTCTGATCGTGGTTGGAGCTTTGAACAAAGCTCCCGATATAAACATATGGGCGTTTATTGCTGACATCACAATGAACGTGCCTCTCCAACCGTACGCGTCAATCAGTAGTTGAATTATGGGTGTAAGTAAAAATGGACCAATTCCAGATCCCAGTACTGCTAGTGAGTTTGCTAGTGTGTATTTCTTCTTAATATACAGAGGTATAATTCCAAGACAAGGGCTCAGTATCAAGCTGTATCCTAGTCCTAATGGAAAATAAAATTGTTAACATTATACATGTTATATTGGTGTGTCCCACTCTATAATTCCACTTTACAGTTGTGAATAACCATTTTCTCATATTTTCCGATACATGCAGGATATAAAAAAAAAAAAAAACATTATTCCCACATTGATGTAGGGTCATGTAATTTACACAATAACAATGTATTTATCAACGACCACACTTTGAATTAGTTAATTTTTTTTCACCATCCCAGTATTGGTAAAATTAAATAACTCACCTACGCATACACCATATGTTATGTATAGAACTTCAACACTTGGTGAAAACGAACTGGAAAGAAATCCAATGGATGATAT